CCCCCCCCCCCCCCCCCCCCCCCCCCCCCCCCCCGCGGGTGTGAGTTGTATGGACATTTTGCAAAATTTATGGATTTTTAGGGGTTCTTTATACAGATAAACGTCCAGAGGTTGAACTCCACCTCCTCTGTCCGGTGCTGGTGTGGGGTGAAAATCCTCCACCTCAGACGTTCAGAGATGTAACTATCTGCTATACTGTGATCACTCTCCATGTAGCATCAATTATGCTAATGCTAGCTGCCTGTCACGTTCTCTCGTCCTGGCCACACCTCCGCTCTCTAACCCCCCCTCCCCTACCCACACCCCCTCCCCTACCCACTTTGATGCATTTTTCAAATTTCGCCTTGGGTCGGAGTTATCTTTTCACGTGAGGGAGGGGGTAAGATTCACTTTAAAGTACCTGTGACATGAAATTTAAGTGATATATTAGAGTGCATATTTGGAATGATAAAATTAATGATGAATTGAAAACCGAAATTCACAACACTGAAATAAACATTTGTTGAGATATTTGCATGAGCAGAAACAGGAAGTGATGTCAGAGGGGAATTCCTGAATAAGTTGCTACAACGGCTAACAGACTGCAAAGAATCAGATGTTTTTGTAGATTATTTTGAGTCACTATCAGATAGATAAAGAAAAGTCAGACTTATAAAGACCCAGGAAGTTACCAATTTTTAAAGAGTTCCCCTTTGACATCACTTCCTGTTTCACTTGGACTGCATCAAATTCAGCAAAAAATAYGCACGTTTTGTGGCAAACTGGGTGCAAATCATGTGAATGATGTCAAATTTCTTTAATATTAGGATATTTTCTTTCATTTTGTGTAAGTGAAGAATAAGCATGTCACAGGCACTTGAAATTCCAAGTCCACTGGCCCTTCACTGTTGATTGACAGGTATTTGTAGAAAATTAGCTTTTCCTACAGTGTGTTTCAAGGCCAGTAATAGTAGTAACTAGGCTAGTAAAGCCACTATTGTGTGTCCTTCAGCCATGTTTCCATTTCTTTGCTTTTCTTCTTTTCAAGCTCTCATTTGTAAAAAAGTTGCTCACTAGTTTCAAAGTAGCTCTCTCAGCTTCAGCATTTTCAAATCACTCATCATCCTCAAGTGTTGCTAATGGAAGCCACAAGTTTTCGCCTCAGCCTGCCTTCGTCATCACTGAACATATAAAACTGGGATGCACGCACAAAGCTATCATTTCATCTTAAGCTCAGTTCATCTACTTGTTTACTTGCAGATGTGCTTTTGTGTGCACACGTAGCTTTTATGTGGTTTTGTACAAGTACAAACTACAAGCACAAAGTAATGTGATTTTTTTTTTCCCCTGCCGTGCACCATAGAGGTGGCTTTTACATTCAAGCTGTTGCTTTTCACTACAATAATGACCTCCTAACAAAAGCAAGTTACATATTTTTTAGCATCTCTATGGAGCTGATTGCCTTTAGAAATAATGAAGAACAAGTAAAAATGTAAACGTGGTTATTTAGTCTTAAGTTAAATAAGGTCAGAAACAGAACAATAGTAAAAAAAATATTATCTTGTAGCCACAGGATTAATAATGTGTGGCCGTGAGATAATTATCATAGTCATTTCAATGCAGAAAGTCTTGATTGTTTACATGGAAAAGTCTGAATTACTTAATTTATTAATTTTATTTTAATAAAGGAATGAATGACATACTTCACTTCCTTACATTAGGCATTAAGTATTTCTTATTAATATATATGTTGAAAAATTATGTGTTTCCCAGCACGCCTAATGTGTTCATATCCCATAGATAGCCTAATATGACAAATTAAATGTTTATATTAACATACACCAAATAATAATAATAATAATAATAATAATAATAATAATAATAATAATAATAATAATAATAACTATATACTGCATAGTGGTAGCATATAGGACCCTCAGATGTAAAGCACCAATGCACCAGAACTCAGAAGTCACCAGAACAGATTTATTATTTTAGGTGGGGGTTCAGAGGGGTGTTGGGGGCACTCATTTTTGGACCCGATGGATAGCCCTTCAACAGAGCTAAACGAAAATAAAAATAAAAAGAATTAAAAAAATTTAAATCTGATTCTCCTATGTTGAACAGTTTTTGAGTTATAAGCAAATATGTATGTCCAGACACCCCCTTTTCAGGTGGAGCCCCCTCCTCAAAGATGGGGTCTATTGTGAAACCGTTGGTTGACTCAGTGTAGGTCAGACTCATCTACATTCCCGCCAAATTTCATGTTGATCGGTGCAACCGTTTCCGTGCTAAGGTTGACCAAAAAACAATAAAACCGTACAAAAACAATACTGTATGTCAGTGTCATGCGCATCTCAAAATGATCTTGTGGCCAGAAGATAATTCTTTTTATTATCCATATCACTGGATGGGCACTGTACAATAAAAAGTAAGCTATAAAGACAAAATTAAAAATAAGAAAATAAAATAACAGATTTGACCTTTGTCAGCCACATCAATGTAAGCAACATCCGTGTTTTCATCTCAAATATAAAGAATGAGAGGTCTTTTTTTCCAAACAAATTTGATGGGAACTAATTTAATTATCTGTAATGAAATTTCTTTTGCACTTCATTTTTACAAAGAATTAGTGAAAGCATTCTGCTTTTTAGATCCAGATAAATTACACAAAGATGTATTTTTTATTCTACATTTCCTTCATTTTTTTAAGTTCACTTGTGTGTTTCTTCTACCTGATCATAACTGTGTCTGGACTGCAGCTGGTTGCTCTATGAGAAGCCCGGCTTTCAGGGCCGCATCATCGCCTTGGAGGAAGGAGGCACCGAACTGGAAAACATGTGGGCCGATCCAGGACCGGAAACCGAACCGCCCAACGTTCCACCTATGATCATCGGCTCCATTCGGCTCGCTGTCCGGGTGAGTTCACTCTGCTGTAGCTTTAGCGTCATCTTCACCTCACATCAAATCTTCAAATTGCTTCGTGGAATCCAGTCAGGACTCTGGAAAAGAAAAGCCGATGACTCAGCTAATCTCTTGTTTTCACTGGGGGGAATTATTGAAGGATTGGGGTTAGCCTCTGCTAATAGTGCGACGCTTCACAGCATTCACACCACTGAGATCATRTTTTCTACCGTACGTTTTTCAGCATCTAACTCTTTCCACAATTTTTGCGCTATTTCAACAATTCATATATCAAAACATTCAGCTCATTCATATGAAGGGTGTCATGACTTTTGGTGTTTCAGCTGTTTGTACTTTTGTAGCTATTTCACGTTTTTTAGCCACTTTTTTACCATTGAAAATTAATGGAGCTGTTTTCAACATCCTTAAAATAATTTGAAATGTTTCTAAATCTTTACAGCACCTTACACATTTTGTTCTGGTTATGCTTTTTTTTCCACTTTCTTGTGCTAATTTTAGCTACTTTTTGCTAGTTTTAGCTTTTTTCTGCTATTTCAGCTACAATTCTGATTCTTTCTGCTATTCTTCTGATTTTTCTACTTTTTTGTGTTTTTTTCTGCTACCTAGTGCTATTTATGCTTCTTACAGATGTTTTCAGCTTTATTCAGCTATTTTAGCTCTTAGCTTTTAGCTGTTTTCAACTAGATTTGTGCTCCTTTTTACCGTTTTTATGCAGTAAGGCTTTTTTCTTTCAAAGTGAGCTCACATTAACACTTTCCTATAAAATATTTTCAGCTCAATTTCAGCAGCTTTCAGCTTAAGTTTTCAGCATGAAGCATTCACACTAGCATTTTCGCAGGAAATGCAATTTCTCTAGTCAGTGTGCATTGCCAATGCAATGCACACTATTGTGATTCGTTTCCCATCCAAGTCATCTCAACTTTGCCATGCTTCTCCTCCTGCATACTTTGTCCTAGAGCCGCCATTGTAATTTATATCTGTAAAGCTCCTGTGCCAAATGATGGCTATGTCTTTTGGTGCCTGTAAAACTTATAGTTTATGAAATATTAATGTTTAATGAATTATAATGGCAGTCAATGGAGTCTTGTATTGGTCCAGTACTGCCCCCAGCTGTACTCAACTTGGTACTGCACCATAGTTTTTTATATTTGATCTCAATAGTTCAGTGTTTACAATACTAATATGATTGTATTTTGATGTTTTACTATATATTGTCTTAATACTGCTCTATTGTTGTAATATTATGCATTTTTGTGTCAATAATTGAATTGGCAATGTGGCCTCTTTCTGCACTCATACAAACCAACCCCTGCCACCACCTTCTGCCACAGCTCCATTGGTTTAATGGTTTATGTCATGGACTTTCATGTGGGAGGTCGGGGTTCAAAACCCGGTTAATGCGACTCTAAGAAAAAAATCTCTTCAAAGTCGCTTCATTGTCACACAATTACCTTAATTCTAAACATCTGCTGACGTGACAGGCACAAGCTGGTATAGAAAACACATTTGAACTTGGTCAAAATTCATTAGGCAAATCCAGGCTGCAATGCACACTTGTTTTTACATCGTAAAAACCCATGTGTAGTTATAGCTGGKTTTTTTTATGTCTCCCCTTCCTATTCTGCAGGATTACAGCATTCCCCACATTGATCTGTTTGCTGAACCGGAGGGCTGCGGCAGAGTGACACCTTACCATGATGACACCATAGAGACAGGCWCATTTGGCATTCCACTCAATACGGCTTCCATCAAAGTGCACTCCGGGGTGTAAGTACGGATGCTTTTAGGGAAGTTTTATTTGAAATATAAAACACTGGAGAGATTTTGTTTTCCCACTGCGTGCTCAACCTCAGATTGATTCAGCGTGCTGCTTTTTGGATCACGTCTGTTGAAGTGGTCTGATAGTGAGACTCAACTCTTGTTAGACAATCGTTTGTGTTTTAGCAACATCTGAACGTTGGGGCAAACCGTTCCTCTTGTCTGAGAACTCGAGCTCTGCCTGCAAAAATGTGCAAGGTTTGCATATTTGTGGGCACTGGCTGCAAAAACATGAGCATAAATCACAAAGATTTTATAAACTGAAAGTGCTCATTATAAACTGTTTTTATTTTTTCCTCTGTATTTGAGCACACAAACATCCCCCTAACTTAGGAAAGCTATCTTTAATTTAGATGTTGGAAAAGCTCATAAGCAATATCTTACCTGCTGCAGATGGTTCAGTTTGGATGAATGGAGATTAATTCTGACTGAACTGATGAGCTAACGTAGTCCAAGAGGGGCTAAGACCAGGATTTTTGTATTTCACTGTTAATTATGTAAAAGTTCAGTTATTYGCTAAAAAGAATAGCAGCAGCAGCCAGCTGTAGCACATCCAGTGCGGAAATCATTATTTTTGCTAAATAACTGTGAAATTAGCAGGCAATGCAAATGTCTGTCAAAAGAATTTGCAAGAGGTACTTTGAAGTTTTTCAGACCAGATTTGTTTCAGGTTGGCAGGAATCCACGTTGCTCTCAGTCCTGCTTGGACAAGCCGTTAGCTTGTCAGTTCAAATAGAATCTGAGTTTCTCCACATTGAGTTCTGAGTATTTACGACCCGGGGAACAACGAGGGGTGCGGCTGCGTTTTACGCAACCAAATCTTTTGAAAATCAGTTTATTTTGGAGTGTACTACCTGCGAAACTGGATTCCGAGCCGTGCACAGAATTTCATCGCCCACGTTGTACCCACCTTCGCAGCTAATCTGGAGTACACTTTTGAAATAAAGATAGGCAGATTGGGCAGGTGTTAAAATACAGCTGTTGCAATCCACACTGGACATGCCCACAACAAAACTGAGATGAGTTTTAGACACATTAAACATGTTCAAAACCCAAGAGACAAGACTGTGACCCTCTGCAACTGTGGGGTGCCGTTTGTACAGTTACACAGTCAAAAATTACCACCAATATTTTTGTTTTATTTAGCCTTTTATAAGAAAAAAAGAACAGATTAATTTTTCAAAGTCAGTTTTTCACAAGTTAAAACCTAAATATTTAACTTAAATATTTAGGTTGCAACTTAAATATTTAGCTAGCCACCTAAATATTTAACTTAAATATTTAGCTAGCTACCTAAGTATTTAGGTTGCAACTTGAATATTTAGCTAGCCAGTTAAATATTTAGCTAGCCACCTAAATATTTAACTTAAATATTTAGGTTGCAACTTAAATATTTAGCTAGCCACCTAAATATTTAACTTAAATATTTAGCTAGCTACCTAAGTATTTAAGTTAAATATTTAGCTAGCCACCTAAATATTTAACTTAAATATTTAGGTTGCAACTTAAATATTTAGCTAGCCACCTAAATATTTAACTTAAATATTTAGCTAGCTACCTAAGTATTTAGGTTGCAACTTGAATATTTAGCTAGCCAGTTAAATATTTAGCTAGCCACCTAAATATTTAACAAATATTTAGCTAGCTAGCTAAATTTAGTTTTGAGCTAAACATTTAGGTTGCAACTTAAATATTTAGCTAGCTACCTAAATATTTAATTTAAATATTTAGGTGGCTAGCTAGCTAAATATTTAAGTTAAATATTTCTTATAAAAGGCTAAATAAAACAAAAATATTGGTGGTAATTTTTGACTGTGTAACTTTACAAATGGCACCCCATGCTATGCAATCTGATGCTGACATATTCTAGAGGTTTTGTCGTGAACGTCGTTTTGCCAAGTCCATCACCTTGATTGGTCACAGCCTTTCCACAAAGCCACATTTTAAAAGACCCAATTGATGACTTTCAACCTTGTGTTTAAGTCGTCACGTTTGTCTAAGCAGTGCTACGTGGTAGTATGAGTAATAAGTCAAGTGGAACTGCACCGCGCCATAAAACAATAATGGCTTTAGGTGTTTGCTCGGGACGTTTTCAGGACGTTCAGCGAAGGGTGGAAATCTTTTCTGCAACGACAAGAGAGAGATAATAATCCTTTCTTTGCTCCTTTGTGTTTATCGTTGGTCTGATCCTCAATCATTTGCACGTTCAGGAATGTCTATCCTGCTGCTGCACGTGGAAAAAGGGAAAAGGTGGAGACTAGACGGAGTGTGAGAAACAGACAGAGGAATCAACTTGTCACAGCATAGACTGTTTTTTTAATTATTATATTTATTTATTTATTTTCACATGAGAAGCATTCAGGAAATGTCATGCCCTGCCCCAGACGGTAAAGAATAACGTTAAACCTCTGCATGCCCACAGATGTGGTTTTCTCTCTTGGCACGTAGGAACTTTCTCATTTTGCAGACTGTTTTAGCGTCTCCTGACATAATTAAAAAAGAAAACGACACGGGTCGCTGTCAGGTGCCAGCTCAGCGCTTGTTCTGCAGAAAAAGGCGAACAGAGCTGCCTCAGCTCTGCTGCTGTGGCGCAGCTTCTGCAGGAGACAGCTGTGTTCCAGATGTTTCTCCTCGGCTGTATGGGCGCTGTTACGCGCTGGCTTCTGTGCTCGTATATAATTTAACAGAACGAGGTTGCCCTCACCTCATGCTATCGCTCCCTCAGCGCTATCTGAGAGAGATGGGTTGGTGTTTGCTGTCGCGGGGTCACATGCTGTAAGTGGCACGAGGCGTATCTCGTGCTCTCGGTGAGTACGAGGGTACAGTTCCAGCAAAAATGGAATGCGAAGAAAAATGCTTTGAACTGGAGCCTGCAGTTCCCGAGGTATTTAGTCTAAAACAAACTAATTTTGCTCTCTGCTACATAGTTTCATGACTCATCTCTGGGAGAGGTTTAAAAATAACTCCAATAAAAAGCTTGACTTTGTGTGAAGGAAAAAGTTTCTAATATTCGTTCCCATGCTGTGAAAGGAAAACATTCGTTTTATTTCTCTGTAAGAAAACAAGCATCAGTAAAGCAGCTATTTCAAGAATCAGGACTTCTATTGTTTTAGAATATTTAAAAACCTGCATATTTTCTTTTTCAAACCACCGCAGGGGATGTAATTAGTCATAATTTAAAGGGGAAATATCGTGTAAAATCAACTTTTTTGAGTTTTTTATCATGTTATAATGTTATACTCTCATAAAAAAACATGCCCAAAGCCTTGCTTTGACTCATTCATGCATGTTTGAGAAATCCTGCAGCGTTTTTAGAAAGCCATGCTGAGGAGCAAAACGACAGGTGGGGACCAGAAACAGCTATTTGGGACCAGCTCCTCCTCTGGAATGTGTCTTTGAGCCAAACTTCCTCATGGCAGAGTGCTCCACGGCTGTGTCCAAAACGAAAGGCCGGGTCCTCCGGAGGACCC